TGTCGCCATAGCATCCCCTAACCGCTCCAGCAACTGCACAATACTGCACAGACCACGTACATACCTGTCTGAGCAAGCGGCAGTAGTCCGAGACGATCTTCATGAGGGTAGTGTGGCACTCCGCCGTAGTGTGCGGAACCCCCTTGAGCATCGGCTTCAGCTCCGCGTCCGCCTTCACTAGCTGCGTCTGGATCTGCTCGACAAAAGGAAAGAAAAAACACACTCTTGAAAGGACGACAGAAAAAAATGGTATCCATCCGGCCGAGTGATTGATTTTACAGAGGTGGTAATTTGGGTTGATGAATAGGGCCAAGTGTTTCGTTTTGGTTGGTGGTGTTTGTTAAATTTTCAGAGTTGGGGGATGCAATAAAAAGAACGTTCCCAGTTTTGTGCACTCGATAATCAAGTCTAACGTCACGCGACGACGACATTTTGTGAGTATGTGCTATAATGTAAATGGTATTGTTTTTTTGTGGGTATTTTTTAATTTTCAGTTTTGGAGACGCAGTATCGGGCAAAATCATAAACAAAAAGACAAAAAAAAGGCCCCGACCCGACAACCCAACTCGCGCGATAACAGAATCAACAAAATGCTACCTACCGCCATCGTGTGAAACTGCTGTTGGCAACAACCGACGCACTGGCGTACTAAAAGCAAGCAACAACAAAAAACATGCACATACGCATATCTGACCTCCCACTTGATGTTGGGGAGAGCGGCCTTGATGCGTCCAACAAGAAGGTCTGTGAGTCTGCGAGTCAGGTTCGGGACCCCAAAAAACGACGAGGGGAGGCTCTTGAAGACCGGCTGCTGGCGGAAGAAGGCTGCCTCCGAGCTGAGGGATTCCTTGTTATCCATCCCTGGGGGTGGGGGTATACAATGGGACACGGGGGGGGGTACTCATAGTCGTGCATGCCGTAGTCGTTAGACCTTTGACCTCGCATCCCTACAAAGCCGGGGGAGCTGGCGGAAGAAGGCTGCCTCCGAGCTGAGGGATCCCTTGGCGGGGGGGGGGGGGGGGGGGGGGTCA